CCTGCTGAAGTAGGAATCCTACTCCTGTAGTTGTATAGTAGAAATCTAAAATCTCTAAAGCTGTTCTTAGAATCTATGCAAACAACTTGCAGTGCTTTTTTAATCCTATATGCCCTCAAACCTCTAGTTTCTAGAAATAGTTTATGTGGAAGTATATAAAAGCTGTTATACTGGAGACTTCAGTGTTGTTGAAACATGTGTTGCTTGATGTAGTTGACTTGAACTGCTTTTCAGTCACTATACTAATGGCTCCTGGGTCATATTAGCAGTTTTGTTTTGCAGTCTACTTGTCTCTTGATTAAATATTAGTATATGGGCTTTTATGGACAGTTGATTGTAACTGCAAATAAGCACCCCATAAATGGACTATTAAATTGAGGTGCTTTGGACCTGGTCCTAATTAAACTTAGGAGGACTTGTTGCTTCCAAGGCTACTGTAAGTGTTGGTGTACACTGCTAGTAAACTACAGTGTTTTCTGTGAACAGACTTTGAGAGTTTTGATGTACCTGAAGAGCACCGACTAAGCCATCTGACACTGAGTGGTGTTCCCCTCATGATATTTGAAAGTACCTCTGACAGACTTGTAAACATGGCTCCTTCTCCTGTGAAGCTCCCCCAAATGTCATGGGAGCATGGTAAGTGGAGATGTGCATGAAGCTCAGTGTATGCAAGTGCTTATTAGTGGTTTGGGAGGGAAGCTATTGGGCTGTTGCAATAATGAAACTGTCATTGCTATCTAATACTACCAGAATAGGAGTCTGGTATCAAACAACTGTTGGCATGTAACTATGGTGATTTTTTTTCCCTGCTGGCCAGCTCTCTTAGTACAGGTAGTCTGTCATGTTGTTGAGCAGTTAGTTGCAATGTATTGCTAACCAATCAGTTAAACTGGTTTATGCAATCCAACCATATCTGAGTCTTTCAAGAGACTTATGCAAATCTGTTAGGATCTAGTTTGTGTTCTAAAGTAAAATTCTGTTTCTTGAACTGACTTACTCTTTCTAACTCTTTCAGACTTGCTACAATCAACTGCTGATTTTCTTTCTACTCTGGATGAGATCATTGATATGCCACCTCTGAATGACCTTTAAAGCATGTTCTGAAACTTTTACTCAGTTAAAATTTCATGTAGTTTTGTATCTTTAATAAAGACTAGTTTAACTTGTATAATACTGGACTTGTCTATTTTCAGTAGACTCAACACACAGTCTGTAAGATGTGGTAGTAACAATGTTTTGAAAGGGAGCTTATTTTATAAGCTATTAAAGCAGAGCCTGGATCAGGTTTAAGCAGAACTATAGTTCATTGTTCTGAACTTCATCTGGGAGTCAGTGCCTGCTGATTAGACTGCATGGTTATGGTAGTTCAACAGGCCCTTCAGCCCTTCTAATGCTGTGCCTTCTATTGCTTCATCCTTTGTCCATCAAACATGCTAGGGTGTAAAACTAATATGTATGTTTTGTGGGAGGTGGGTGCCAGACATAATACTCTCTGGGCCTTTTACTTGAAGTTATGAGCTGCTGAAGAAAATATGATCTAGGATGGTATATCTTAGATCCTCGTATGGCTTGATCAGACTAGAGGTCTGCAGCTGCATAATTGTCACTGCAATATGTGGCCCTCACTGCTTTTACTGTGTCCAGAACCAAGGCTAGCATAGAGTAATCCTGTCCATCAAGTTACGAGAGCAGCAGGTCTAAAAGTTGCTGTACAACACTGGATAAAAGTTGAGTTTAACTAACTTGGCTTTGCTTCATTGGGGTGGCAGATGATTCTGTCTTACCATGAGTTTTATGAAGCTTGTAAGTATGTGATACTTCTGAGCAACTGTTTAAACCAGTAGATATCAGAAGTTCTAGAAAGAAAGAAAAGCAGTATGACTACTTGCAGTGGTTGTATAAACTGATACATTGGAGACCAGGCTAAAAATTAATAGTAGATGAAGCTGCTTAATGCATATAGTTGAACTTCTGATCTCTTTTCACCCAATAAACCATTGGGTGCTTTTCTTTTAATTGGTAAGAAGTCTCAGAAGTAAAGTCCTTAGTGAAAGGAAGTCAGGAATCGTAGTTATTACTAACAATCAGCTGCAGTTACAGTTTTGTGGGAAAAAATTAAGTCAGCCTTTGCTGTGAGGTAAAAAGCTACTTTTCTATTTGCTAGGCAGTACTCTGATCTACTTGGATTACAGCTGTTTGAGCTGCATTCAGGTATGTGTTCATCTTTACCATGAATCTGAATTTACTGGGATGTGGTGTTTTCTGGGTATTCACTAAGATAAAGCCTTTATGCTCTTCCATAATGCAGCTGAGCTCTAGTAACCTATTTTACACTTAAGAGCAATTGCTTTGTCAATTTACCTTAATTTTGACTGGAAAATGAGGGATGAAATTCTTGATTTGCAGTTGTATTTCTGCTTGCATTTTATAATTAATGGTATGTAGTTTGGATTACTTGCTGCAAGGTTGAAGACCAAGGTAGGTTTTTAAGGAAGCAGTTTAAGGAAACCAGACTGGTGGCTTTAGAGACTATTGGCATCTTTCACTCTAGACCCCCTCTCCCCACTTCCTGTATGTAAACATTGGCTTGTTTCAAATAGGTGCTGCTCACTTCCACAGCAGTGCACAAATACTACAATGATTGCTGTAGTATGTGGGACCCTAGCAGTGATAGCCTTTGTGCTAATAATGTACAAACACCTCTTACCATTGAGCTGTATCCAAATAGCTTTCTACACAAAGCTGAATGAAAAGATGCACCATTATTCAGTGTTCGTGGCAATGGTTTCAGTGTCATCTACATGCTCTTAAGAGGTACGTGTAGGAGGAGGTGTGTCACAAATACCATGGATGCTAAGGTGGTTTTGTGTGGGTTTATAGGGTTATCTGAGAGCAGCCAAGGGAGAAAGGACAGGCATGTGTTTGAAAAATTACCAGAAACATCTGCTTTGGTCCATAGCTTTGACTTGACAAATGTTACTGGAAGCTGTCTTCCCCCCCTTCCTGCCCCATGGCTCTCCCTAATCTTCTGATGCATTTTAGTACAGTTTGCCTGGACTGGTATTCCTCAGTATCTCACTCAGTTTGGAAAATAATACAATTAAAAATATTAAACATCCTATTTGTGTTCTCAGCATTATAGCTGAAAGTACACTGGGCCAGTGTTTCCCATGTTTGTAATTAAATTGTTAGGCTCTGTATGCTACTCTTAATAGTATGTTGCTTTTTCATCTAGCTACCTTAAGGAATGGTATTGGTGCTCAACAGATGCAAAGATTTTGAGCAACCTCTGCCATTTTTTCTAACTTTAAATGGGTTGTCACAAGTGTGGATGAGATTATAGATTAATGTGCAGAATGTTATTACAGATGACAGCATGTAGGGATGGATGGAAAGTGTTTTGACCTACAGATCCTATCAAAAGGAAATGAGGAAATAATGACACAAGAGCCCTTCAACAAACAGCTTTTAAAATCTGCTTCTTAAAAACAGACATCTGTCAGATTATCTATAGATGACTTTACTATGCTTTATTGAATCTTTGAAGTGGCCTTGGGAACCAACAGACTGCGGTACCTTTTCCAGAACTGTTAGGCAGCTTGTTTACAACTTAAGTGTAATGGTCTTGGGTTTTGTGAAGCAAGATAGTCTGGTCATGTTATAACATACTATGTAACTACAAGCAGTTGCAAGACTAGCTTTTTAGCTCACTTGTTGCTTTAAATGTATGATATGCTTTAATGATTGCAAGTTGATAAAAGATGAAAATATTCTACATAAGAACTGGGATTAATTTGGCATGGATCAATAGTGCATACCCTGTAGTCCTGCTCCTTGGAGGCATACTATGTCTCCATCCTTACTTCACATGAAGATGCAGTGTGGATGTGCAACCATCTTCCTTTCATGCTGTGGTTTCTAGGAAACCTAAAGATGGGGGCAGGCAGCAAGAGACCCTCCCTTTATTCAAGGGGCTGCCTGGTCTATGGGTGCTGATGGGAATGTTTGCCATGTTATACTGATATGGGTGATCAAAGCTGCTCTTCATCTTGAAAAGGGTAGCAGGCAGAGCTTAAACCTGTTTTCACTGTTCTGTGATTGTGGATGTTTCCTTAGGACACATTTAATCACAACATTATTTCTCAGGAGGTAGATGAGCCTTTTGGGAATAATTCTGTTGCAAAATCTGATCTTCATTCTAGTAGGGCTAGAAATTTGCTCTTGCTAGTATTTGTTTAGTTTTTTAGGTATCTGATTCAGACATTGTTTCTGAAACCTCTCAGGGTAGCAGCTAAAGTTTTGAATTGCAAAGAATTTTATAATAGCTGTTCATCTACTTTCTCTAGTTTCTTTTTTGCTAGAAATCTCAGGAATATCAAAAGCCAGAATTCAGAAAAATAGATATGGTTAAGGTGGTTCTATACAAAAATTTCATGTTTCTATTAATCCTTAATTGTATTTTAATAGCTCTTGATACTGCATAACAGCTTGTCTCAGCTGAGATCTAAGTCTGGGCCTAAGTCTACCAGCTGCAAGAGCTGAACTATAGGCACTATAAAGGAAAGTAAGAAAGCAACAGAAATGACTTCCTTTGACTTTTTCTCTTTTACTAGCTCAAATGAGTTGGGGAGGAAAAAAGAATCCAAGCCCAATTTCAAAGAAAAATATCTAACTACAAGTCACTGAAATGGGTTAGAGTGCCATGAAGTGACCTCTTAGCAGTCATCCAGATAAAATGGTCATTGTTTCATAGGATGGGAAACACTAGACACTGATATGATATACCATAAGACTAGGACATTAAATCAACATAAATGTCCCATAATTAAAAATAAGGTGTAACTTTTTACATCTCTAAACAGACCTCTCTTCTAGAGATACCAGTGCTTTGTACATGTCAAGGAAGTTTGTCATGGTAACAAAACAATTTGTTTTAGGATCTAAAAATCTCATAATCAAGCACCTAGCTATTTTTGGCATTTCTAGAAATCAGCTTTCTGTGCTAGGTCTGTGTGTGCATATAGACACACATCAGACCATTTAATCATACTTGCTACTTGTAAGGTTCCATACTATCATGGTTGAACTTCTGTATAATCTTTAAGAATGATAACTAAATGATTCAGATAGGTCTCTTGCTGCCAATAGGCTTTGATCTTGAGGCCTGAAATTATTACCTGTGGGGACAGTGGAATAGGTATGCAGAAAGTGTAGTGTCAGAGGCTTAAGAATTTGGCTCTCCTGTATGAGAGAACATTGATGCAGTTTAGAGCAGAAGTTAATAACAGTAGAATAAATATTCACATAGTGTAGTCTTCTAAATTTAATTAAAGGGATTTAGTCATTTTTGGTAAGCCTATAGGAAAAAGAAACAGTCCATTCTCTACCTCTAACTTTCTAGATTTTTTTCCCTAAAATTTTAGAGGTATATTTAAGGTGCAGGGGAACTTGTTCTGTGTGATTCTTTTCCTAAGTAGTTCATCCAGTTTTCTGCACATGCTGTCTCCTATAGCTGTTGCCAAGCAACACAAGCCAGTCAAAGTAAAGTCTGAGTAAGAAGTGACCAAGGATTTTGAGGCTTTATCTGCAGATAACTGAGATCCGAAACATGTTACATGTAGCTGATTTTTAAGGCAAAACAGGAGTGTTGCTAAGAATCTCAGGTATGGGGTATAGACTTATGTTCAGCAACATGTAATACAAAAGTAAGACTTCATGTTACTACAGCTAATATTTAGTGCTTAAAAATTGATTAGCTTTTTAAAGTGTTGACCATGAGCTTTTGTTTAAAAGGGTTTTTAAAAGACCTGTTCAATTTCAGACACATCAATGGCTAAACCTTAAGATAGCTGTTAGATGAATGATGAAGTTACCTTCAATATTGGTTAAGCATTAATAATTATCAGCACCAAATTCCAGGTAGCTGGGAATAGACTGCTGTAAGAAACATGAATATCTCCTCCAGGGCTTTTTGTTCTCATTGAGATTTCTCATAAATGCAGGTCAAAGCCTTTGTTTTTGCAAAGCTTTGTTTTCCAAACATTCACCTAAAAGCCAGCTAAAATAAATTAATCTTTTATTTGTCACATTTCATGTAGTTTTC